ACTCTACCGAGTGAGCCACGGGCCGGCCCTAAAAAGTATATTATTAAAGGAAGCTAAGTGAAGTGTATTTCTGTACTTCAGACCCAGCTGTTGGTTTTAATAGCGATGAACAGAGACCCTTCCAGACTTCAAAGGAATGAGTCTGGTGAGCTCTAGGGTCATCGCTGCCTTGCGGTTTCTCTGCTCGGTGGCCTGGCCATGCTCAGCATGCTCATCACAGTCCACGACTGGCTTTGATCACAGGCAAAACTGGTGAGGAGGGTCCCGAGGTCTTCCTCAGCCTTGGTTGCAGATGAGCAGCACTGGCATTGTATATACGTTGTATAGGCAAGACCTGCTGCACGGCCGCCCGGTATACGGCACAGAGCCAGCTACCTGCTGTACGACGGATAGCCAGCCACTTGGTAGGGTGGCAGGTTATACGTCGTACACCGGGTGGTTGGCTCTGTGCCGTATACCAGGCGGCCGTGCAGCAGGTCTTGCCTCGAGGCTCCCTCCCAGAGGCTGGGTTGGGGATGGTGGCTGTGGGGACTCTGTAGGGTCCTGGATCGCAGACAGAATCTTTTCAGAGATGGGCAGACGCAGAGTCAGCTCCAGAGAAATCTTCATCTGGGTCTAACTCTCTGCCCTGCACCTCTAATTTTTTATCTATGTGAGTGTCCAAACCCTCCTCCTAGCCAGAGAAGCGAGCACACTCTGAGCCTATAGCCCCGCGCAGCCCTATTTATACCCTGCTGCCCTCTGTGACCTCGTCACTGTCACAAACCCCTTTGTTCTCATCCTTCCCTCTGTCCCCTCCAGGCAGGGCCACCATCCTCCCCCTAAACACCCCACTGTCCTCACAAAGGACAGCCCCACCCTGTCCACTCGAGGGTGGGGGTTGCCAAGATAAAAGGTTTATCAAATGGGAACATTTTGTGCGGATGCTTCCTCACACCAAGTTTAAAAGGTTCAGCATGAGACAGTCTGTAGGAATCCAAGATGATGGGAAAATTTGAGCCATTTGAGATCATGGTTTAATTGTATCAAATAACCTAGAATTGGCAGTCCTGATGCTTAGCTCTTCCTTCCATTAAATCTCAGTAGTTGTTGACGATGATGATCTTTCATAGTAACCTTAACCTTCAATAACATTAAAGATTGCTTCTCCCACGTGCCGCACTACACTGTACACATACTGTCCTTGAGTTTGGTATTACTGCTACTGTCCCCACTTTTCAGGTAAAGAAATTGACGTGTGTCACTTACCTACACTCACAGACCTCACGGGCAGTGGGGGCATCAGTGAATCCAGGGTGAGCTGATTCTAGTTGTGCTTCTGAACCCCTCCAGTGAAGCTTGGGCCAGCCCATGTTTTCAAGCTGAACTGATTTCACTGCCTTCAAGAAGACCAATTTGGTGCATTACGGGAAGTTGCATAATTAATCCCCCCTCTGTGCGCGCGTGTGTGTGTGCATGTGTGTGTGTGCGTGTGTGTGTGTGCATGTGTGTGCGTGTGTGTGTGTGTGTGTGTGTGTGTGTGTGTGTGTGTACACTTTAGAGAACCCAGGACAACCACTTCAGACAGTGGCAGGGCTGTGCTGGAGACTGAACTATCCAGGGTCCACCTCGGTTCCTCTCCTGCGTCAGGCTTTTACAAATACCCCGTGTGGGAGCCCAGCCATCCTCTTGAGGCCCCCAGTTTTTGCTCCGCACCCCCTGCCCAGTGAAATGCTGGGGGTGGGGTGGGAGGGCAGGGGAGGGGGCAGCACTGGAGGTGGAGGCTTAGATTCCAGGAGC